CCCAATCAGTGTGGCTTGGTGGGAAATGCCAGTCAATTTCCTAAATGTAAATTAATAGAAAGATGACAATAGTGATTTTTATTCGTATTGTAACTTACAAGTTTACAGTTGAAAGGAGCAGAATTTAACATTTTTACAGAGGAACGTGCAAATTCATTTCATGAGGTTATATGTCAATTACACCTGAGGTAGAATTTACTTGCAAAATAAAATTACTCTTATCACTACACCAAATCGAAAATTAAGCCACTAACTTCCAAATGCACCTCATACAGGTAATTGATTTAATTGGCCCAGCTCAGCTGTGTACAGTACAAATATAGCCTTGACACTAATTGGCAATAATGCTAACCAGGTATGAAAGAGGTAGGTGACAGCCGATAAAATCTAGAGAGCACCGTAACTGATAACAAATTACACCCAAGGCAATAGGTGAGTCTTCATTATAAAAGTCGAAACCCTGCCTGGGTATTTCCACACTTTTTAACAAATTAACACACTCTCCACCCAAACTTTTTGGGCACTACTTTAAATATTTATGTAGCGTACGTGCGCCCCAAATGTACACACCTAGGTCTTTGATTTTCTACTGTTTTTTCTTTTATGGTAAAATCTGCACAGCTGGCTCTCCATTCTTTGCTATAAAATAAATTAGTTTTATCCTTTACTTTTCCGAAGAGTCTTGATTCAAAGCCACCTCGCCGTCTCTCCTCCGTTTATGGTTTTAGTTCCTTCACCATGGATTGTTACCACTGCAGGCAGCCTGAACGCTTGTAAAGTTAGTTATCTTCTCTCGATCAAATAACCCGCAGTAATTCATCATTTTGCTCGGTTGAATATCAAAGAAAATACAGAAAACGAAAACTGAACTACAGGCATGGCTTGTTCATGCGCAGCAGACGATTCCGGTCTCCCTCCAGAATGGCTGCCGTCTGTTTTGATGACGCAGGCTCTAATGGGTCAATAGTGAACATTCGGACCAATGAATCTTCGGACTGTTGAACCTTCGGACTATCGCTACGGCCCCGAATCTGGCAAATTTGGTTAAGACACTGTCTCAATTTGTTTGAATTACGAAAAATTTAACTCTCATTATGTGTTTAAGGTGTCACCTTTTACTTAAATTTCCCCCCCAAGTCTTGTTCTGCAATGCAATCAGTTTCAATATATTTTGTATTACCCGGTTTTATTTTGAAAGCCTGTGTTCAAAAGTTTTTACTAAGGTTTCAAAGAAGTTTTATCTTGATAAAATTCTTTGTCTTACTTTAACTTAAATTCATAAATGTTATTCTCTTTTATTTTGAGCACTCTGTTGTGGCAAACCATTTGTGTTATAATTATTTAAAGGCACCTAAAACCTGCTTCAAATAATCTGAGACAGAAAATTGAGCGTTTATTTATAATTTCACATAGCCATTTGCAACCCTGGTGCTTCTCGTTCTTCCAAGTTCTATAAGCGCAACTGATAACACTGTGCAAACATAATAAAGTTATGAAAAAAGGCACCATTCAAATAAAAAATATCAACGTATTTATTTTGCTGCTAAAGGGCATCCAATGACCTGGAGCAAAAATAAATATTTACAGTGAACAATCTGCAAACAAAATGCAGATGTTTAATTAAGTCATAATATAATTATCCCCAGCAGAAATCTGAAGACTACTCGACTTGGAGTCAAAATGCTTTTATCATGCTGCTAAAGGATGTGCACTGTTATATTGTTGAATATCAACTTCCTTGTGAATTCTGCCAGTCTTTGGCTTTTTGCGGCCTTTGCATTTATCCTGATAGTTTTTAGCCTCCTTGTGAAGTCTTTCCACAAAATCTGGCAAGCCTAAAACATAAAACAGACTAGTAAGTAAAACTTTTGCAAAATAAAACCTGTAAAACTTTGCCACAAAACGTTGGTAGATGTTTGCCTCACTCTGCAATTTCAAAACATTACACTTGCATTACTAAGTACAGAATAATAATAATATTATACAACATGTGCTGCAATGATGGCAATAGAGGACTCTCCCTACCTGAACGGGCTATCCATTTGTATGCAACTGAAGGAATTGGGGCTTGTGGGTCATCATGGTAAGTCATCAAATAATCTAATCCATTCTGAAATTTGATGCAAATCACACTTCTTATAATATATTTAACATACTGACAAATTACCAAGAAAAACTTATTTATTTTTAGATTAATGTTGGACTTGCATTTAAATGGTTTTCATTTTCAAATTGGTACTTTTATACATTTTGGAAAATCTTTTTTGGTTTCAAAACTTATTATCTAGCACAAATGAAAGTTAGTGCTTTCCTGTCTGTATCTGCAATAACACGCTTTTCAAAATTAAAATCCTGGTAAAAAATTTTAACCTACTTGATCAAACTCTGTGTGGGGCTTGATGACCATACCAGAACTGTATGGTTTGACCCTGATATAGTCCTTAGTCTCTGGACATTTCTCATGGTCAGTGGATCTGGACACCAGTACTATCACTTTCTCCTCTTCAAAGACCTGTGACAAAATATAAGCAGGGTATATGATTATTTATCACTATTATCTTACTTCACATACTGATAAATGAGAACATGCTATTAACACCAGTATTCTACATTTAAAAATCTAATATTCAGTTATTGAAAAAAAAAAGGTTATCACACTTAGAGGCTCATAATGACAAGAATAAGTAAAGCATTTTGTTCCCCAAGGACGTTTTCAAAAAAAAAATCCTTTCTAGTGTTTTTTAATGAATTTATATGGTGAAGTTGATTTTGCACTGTTGAAAATACTATCAAAATCTGTTTTCATTTAGTATTTTTCTCCAGTATTTTTTCTCCAATACCTTTCATGGCAATGTTAAATTGACAGTTCAGGAGATCATTATGTTTAAGGTATGCTGCATGTGTTTATAAAATTTTAAGTCTACATATCTTTCAGAGCTACTTATCTTTCCCAATTCAGACAACATAACTATGGACATATGTTTTCATACAGTACATATTTTGCTCCAGTATTTTCTCCTATGCCTTTTAGTATTGTGAGCCATTTGATCATTCTAAGTTAATTACCTTAAATCTACGTCTATACACATATTCCCTTGCATACATTGGGTACTAGAAAAGAAAAAAATACAAACTCATTACAGCATTCTACAAGAGCCAGCATATATGTGACAAGTTTTTAATACAGACATATTTAAGGTGTTTCAATTGGAACCAAACATAAAAAATTCGCATAAAAGTCTAAATTTTGCACCCACCGGATATCGAGTGACCCAATGCACAATTTCATTATTAGACTCTTTATCTTCTTCCACCTTTTCTAGATTTATCACCATTTTGTCCCATGTCTTTCGAAACTCCAGATCAATCTAAAAATAATAATAATGAATTCACAATTGCTTTCTTGACAGTTTCTTAGGCAAGAAACCAAAATGTTTGGTCTCTATGCTTTTGCATAAAGTTTAAAAAATAATTAAGAATTTTTTATTTTTAATATTTTCCAACTAACTATAATATCCCACTAACCTGAACATCAAGGAAAGCAGTAGCAGGAATATCATAGAATCTACCAAATACTGAAAAACAAAACAAAAAAAAAATTGAATAACATTCTATGCCCACTATAAAAATATGCCAGCTAAAAGAAAAAAATAGTGAAAAGCTTGACCTGAGTGATCTAGAAAAATATAATTTGGATAAAGCACCAAAACTATACAATTAATTCTCTCAATCTAAACGTAATTCATGTTATTTCAAGAGCCTTTTTTGAAAATGATTTTTAAGAATAACTTTCAAATGTCACTGATCAAAGTTTATCCAGTCATAAAAATATCAACAAAAGTAATTCATCTGTTATGTTAGAAAACAGTAACATGAAATTCTAAAAAAAAAACATGCACACCTTTGTATTCATACAAATGGCTATCAGCCATTTGTTTTCTCCATATTTTGAATGTATCTTTGTCAATAACACACTCCCAATCATCCATGTAATGCGAGTCATTCCCATTTCCATTGCCTGTGTTATTTGTCTCTGAAATTTTATCTTTGGAAGAGCTTTTCTGTTTCCTGGTGTATTCATTCAGATTTTCAATGTGGTGCATATCTGCAACACAGCTAGAAAGAAAATAATAAAGTTACAGTTCCAGCTGAATAATATTAAATTTAAAAACAGTGTTAAGCAACAGTATGCCACCTCCCATATATTTGCAAACACAACAAAACAACCAAAAACTAAAAAAAAAAGAAAAGAAAAAGAAGCAAACATATGCTAAATTGACAGCTCATGTTAAGGTACGCTGAGCAGGTTTTAAATTTTTTAAGTCTAGATATAAATCCTTCAAAGCTACTTGTCTTTCCAAATTCAGGCTTTATAAAATCCCTCAAATAAAAGTACCTGATAGGAAGACGGTATTTTTCAATGATTAGACAGCATTTAAGAACTAAAGTATTAAATTCAAAATGGAATAAAACATCAAACCCAAGTGCAATAAGCGGTCAAGAAATTTGTGACAGGTGGGGAGAGGATTCATTTTCCCCCCAAGGTAAATTAGTTTTGATTAACCTTGGCCAGGGAACCCCATATAGAGTACCTTTAACAAAACAAGTAATAGGCATTCCTTAGAAGTTAACTGTTACACAATTTTGAATGTTGTATAACCTCCCTGAACTGACAACAAATACTTAATTTTCATACTCTGTAGTTGAAATAGCCCTTATATTTGAACTGAACAATAGTATGGGTGGTGACTGAGTAAACTCACTTTAGTAGTTCATCGTCTGAAATATTCTGTTTTGCTGCAAATCCTGCTCCACTCATGAGTATCCCTCGCCGCCCCCTCTTCTTCAAATTCCGTACAAAGTTTTTCATCACTTCTTTAGCTAGTTTTTCATCATATAATCGATTATATGATGTCAATATCTGACAACCTCTTTTAGCCCGGTGTATGACAACAGCATTACATTGCTTTACAAATATTCCTCCTATGACTTCTAACTCCTGGCTGCATCTGTTTACCAGTGACCTACAAGCCCCCAGAAACGTGCTCGTCTTTGACCGTTCATTTTGGGCAAATTTCCTGGAACATTTTCCAATATCAATGACGATTTCAGGCCGAAGTATATTCCTAAACATTATGGATATCCTAAAGAACGAATTCTAGACAATTAAACTAAAATAAATCGTAGAGATCAATCAGTGGCACCTACAGCCATGTGCCATGTTGCCTAATGCCGTACTGTGACCTTCATCACCTTCCAACGTGACGTAATAGATGAAAAATTCAAGACAGGCCGTTAATCTGTTTTCGGTGTTACACTTTTTAAGTCCAAAATGATAAATGAGCAGTGTAATTGTTGTAATTATCTTTTATATAAACGCAAGATATAAATATGCATGTATTTTTACCTGTCTATCATTGTTCATATCCGGTTAGTATTTCATCCTCAGATGGTCTCGAAAAGTCTCGTTAACAAGTCCGAGATTAAACTTGTGTACTTAGCAACAATATTCATAGTCTGAGTGAAGAAGTGAATGTTATCGAATAATTTTTACCTTTCATATTATGTTTTTATTTAGTTTTTAAGGTTGGAAGAACCCTTATTACCCATGGAGTCAATAGGTTCTCTCGTGCTTTCGTAAGTATAATAAAATGTTTGTGGTTTGAAATCATTTCACATTTCCAGCGAAGCCGTAGGTTGTAGGGTCTAGCATTAAATTTTTACATTTCCATTATGGTTGAATTCTGTTTAACCTGATATAACCTTTAACAGTACTCTTGTAATCAGATACATGCTTAAGATTATTATACGACTGCGGTATTTAATAATGCACTATCTTATAAATCATCACAATACATAACTACAATTGTTTGCCTTGTTTGCATACCAGTGTGAGCCAGCAAAAGTGAAGGCCACTCTTATTGATCAAATAATATTTCGTTCATGATTTTCTCTGATTATTTTTTAATTTAATTATTATTTTAAAAAAAGAGAAATATTGATTCACTTGACACACATACCAGTACTATATATTTTATGATTATATATGTAATGAAACTACATGTACTGTAGATCTAACTCAAAACATGTATACTAGTACCATGTACATATACATGCTGTTACATATTACTACATTTTTCCTGAACTATTTTTACAATAACATTTTCTACTATCTAAAATATTTGAAGGAGGTTACTAGATTGCATGTTTTTCCAAGAAAAGGAAAAAGTAATTGTGAACTCAAGTTTGTTATAATAGATTTAGACATTGTTATTGTATCAGCATATTATACTTTTCTGCTCTGCAGTTGGCCTAACTTTCATTTTTCTCATTTTTATTTTGTAGGTGGGCTAAAGGCTATGATGGCAACAACACTCATTTCATAGACAAGAGCACCATTTGCTTTGCCTGTGGCCATAATGTAACTTTTGTGAAAGAAAATGGAGAGGAGATGGTGTTCCCCAGTCCAGGAGAAGGTGTGGGTACCCTGGCTGTTCACAGTGTCAACAAAGTGTTTGCTTTCTCTGATCTGTCACTGCCACCAAAGGTTTTTGTGTACAGTTTTCCAGGTTTGGAACAGAAAGCTGTTTTACAAGGTAATTAAGAAACTTTAAAGTGAATCTTACGAATAGGTTTGTTGAAGTTTTTGGTTTTAAAATGTGAATTGTAAATGTCCTTCCTTTATTTTATGACCTATACTGGAGTTATATATAATGTGACTAAAAAAGGGTGTGACTGTTTTGGAATATCTTATGGTAAATTTGCAGCTGAAGATATTTTGATTTTGCAGTGCAATGATTCTGTTATTTCTGTGATATCTTCTTTGAAACAACTATAAAAAATCTATATATTAAATATGGATAGTGAAGTTATGATTTTGCTTTCAGGTGGTGCCCAGTTGGAATATTCAGCCATTGCTTTCTCAGCTAGTGATTACCTAGCTACTGTCTCTGGTTTACCTGAATTTGAACTTGCAGTATGGTAAAAAAAATTAATGGATATCATTTTCTTGTTGTATTGGATAAGATATATATGTAAATGATTAAATTTCTCAGTTTTGTTT